CTGCTGAAAATAAAAGGGATGCCAGAAACTTATTTCATGTGCTGTAGTTTGTTATATTATTATTATATCATTTAAAAAAACACAATTATTTACTTTCATGTCCATTTTTAAAAATTCTTGTAAGTGGTTGCAGAAAAGATCGTCGTATGGTATCATGGTACTCTCATTTCCCTGCATAAAGTGGAAGATGTTTCTGCTGTTCTATGCCAGAAGCTTCCCAGACATAGAGGCTCAAGAGTGAAGGAAAAGATGTGCATGTTGAACACATCTGTGCCACTGAAACAGATGACCAAGGAATGTGAACAATTTTCTGTCACAACCCCATCTACAGGTGCCCCCAGAGCCACACATTTCTTCCTAGTGTCCTGCCACTTGTACCAAGAAACAGAACAAGGTTTGCCCTGAGATAACTGCTTTCCCCTGCAGATCTCAGCTCCACTGTCCTTATACCAGAGCTCACAGATGCAGCAGGAGAATCTGCCTTTCCCAAGTGGTCTCCCTTTTGGGTTGTGGAGACAGAACAAAAAGACAAATAAAGTTGCTTACCCTCATACCTGGCCCTCCTGAGAGTGCTACCAGTATCTCCAGAACTCAGCCTTCCTGATAGTTTTGCCAGTCCTGGCTGTGAGTCCTGGGGCCTTGAACCTTTCTTCAACCAGGAAAAAATCCAAAGCCCCTGGCTGCCTTACAAACAGCCCTTATAGTATCTCCAAGCCACACCTCCCTCAGCATTGCCCCAATTCCTTGTGCATCTCCATAATCCTCCAGAAAGTCTCTCCCTAGGACACCTGACATTTTCTGACTGATGGGAAAAAAACCAAAGGTGAGTAAGGGGGACTCTACAATAGTAGAAAAGAGGCTGTCTGTGAAAAGGGAAATAGCTGGAAATTAAGAAGATAAAGGGCAGAAAAGGAGGGGAGGGGAGGAAAAAATGTAAGAGGTAAGGTCTGGCAGGTACCTAGTGATTCAGATGTCAGGCAGGCCGTAATGTGTTATAAATCCAATGTCTACATTGAGTCCATGAATTTTTGTATCCAGTAGATTTACGAAGTGAAGTTTGTAGGCTCATCTACAAAAGGTGTTTTGTAAATTCCCTTTGAGGATTAGAACTGAGAGACCAGAGAGGGAGTGGTTGTCGTGTGAGAAGTGTGCCCCCACAGGTACTTGGGTATTCTTGTCTTTGATAGATTTTCAGTGTGCGTTCATTCTGGAGCACAGTTGTTGTTTGGATCCATTTGGTGTGGTTTGGGTCATAGAGAAGTTGATTTGCCCATTACAGACAGACAATAACTTGGGTGCCCATTCTACCTGCCTCTTCTGTCTATGCTTGGGAGTGGCAAATGTACTTGCCCTAGTATCACAATAGTAAGAGAGATTTAGCAGTTGTACCCACTCCCCTTCCTTGATTAAACCATATCCAGAATAATAAAGATATATGCAGATGGCGTAACATAACCAATACAGTGATAAAAGTGACATAACTGGATAAAGCATAACATTGGCTCTCCAATGAGACCACACATGCCAGTGAAATCAACACCAAAAAATCTTCATGACACCCCACAAACCTTCTAGTCTAGGGTCGGGTTCATGACACTCTCCCATCAGTTAAGAGAAAAAGCTCTTTCAAAACTTGTCTTATTTATCTTGAACATTTTGATTCTGACTCTTGATACTATGGGGCTGAAGAGTCAGAGGTCAGTTTCTTATTTTACTGGTCTACTTAAAGAATCATTGTCATATGCGATATTTGCTTTCATGCTTGTGCTTCTTTTTTATTCTCATTAGTATAAAGCTATAACTTCCTTTTTCATTTTTGAAGTTGGTGACCTCTGAAGGTTTTTGTATCTCTGGAAGTTTCATTGGTTGAAAAATATCTGGTATCATATTCTGGAAAGCCTATGGCCCATTAACTTACGTCCATTAATGACTGCAAAATTCATAAACCTTTACATAATGATTTTCTTTAAGTACAGTAGTATTAGCTTTTATGGTAATTTTACTGTTATTTATGATCCCCAAAAAATGTCTATTGAAAAGTGAGATAATCACATAGGGAATGTAATTTGTAGATAGTTTAATACCTTATAGTAATTGTTGCAGGCTCTATTAAAGATTAAGGAGGTTACAAGGCCTCTCTTTGAAGCCAAGTGTAATTCTTTGTAAGGAAAGTTATATTCTTAATGGTGGTTGGGAGTGATTACTTGGGGAGCTGCAATAAATCATTCATGAATTTCATTGAGCTTTATTTCTTCCTGATTTGAAAACGTGTGTCCCAATATCTAGCTAAGAGATCCTTATTCCCTTTGCATCTGTTTACATTTTGGTTATACTGTTCTTCACACTTATTCTTTTCAAGTTAACAGAAAATGCAGTGTAGGAAATCAACATGGAGAACTCCTCAGCTTGAGTTGATCTGATCTGATATATATGGAAGTTAATAGCACTTGACTGTTAGCAGAATTGGATTCTTTGCGGCTAATCCTGCATGTGCTAATTTATCTTTTTTTAGTAGTCTCACACAGATTTAAGGGACTGTTCTTGCAAATGAACCCTTGCACATGGTTAAGTCTTTTCAGAATCAGGTAAAGTATTATAAAAATATGATGCAAAGAACAACTCTGTTCTTACTATAATAGGCAGAATGACTAGGTTGCCAAATAATACTATAGTTTTAGATCTCTAATTTATATATAAGCAGTGAAAAACTAAGGACCAAGGGTGGAGGGGAGCACACTTGTGCCAAAGAAATTTTGAGAGAAATATTTAAAATAGTCTTTAAGGAACTTGTCACCCTAAAGGCTTAGGTGCTTCTGAATATTACTAATATCTACTGTCAACTTTTGAGACTGTCTTAAGATTCTTTTAAGTTTAGAAATAACATGTCCATCTGTATGGCATCTAGAGACACTGCACATGTCTACACAAGATGCTAACTGAGCAATAGCCTAATAACTGCAGTAGCACGTCACAGCATGGACGATGCTGATATGCTACTGTGCAGTATTATTAGGCTATTGCTCAGTAAGTCTCACTAAAAAGGCATTTGCTGGCGCTACTGCGCTGTAACTCTGGTTACTGCACATTTTATTAGTACTTGATTATACAAGTACTAAATTAAATGTGCAATAGCCACTGCACATTAATGAATGTGTAGATGCGCCCACCATGTATGGAAGGAAAATGTCAGTGTTTAAATGCCCACAGTTTGCAACACAATTAACCCTCTTCTGACCTTCCTTTGAGCCACCTGCCCAACCAGAAAAAGAGGGGGAAACATAAAACAAACCGACGTACGAAGAGAAAATATCTTTATAGTTTTTGATCTAGCTGTTCAAAGGTTTATCCAAATTTTTTGAGTCAAGCACCATGTACCAAACTAAGTAACTGGGTTCTTTGATGCACCAGCAGGGGGAGTGAGTTTCACAGCCAATGACTTTCCGCTGAATTTAACCATGCTTTTCAAACTCAAGGGCCATCAACAAAAGTAGGTCATCTGGTTCTGTTGCCACAACAGTGGACACAAAGATAAATACAAGGAAGGATCCTGGCTGCTTTGAAAAGAATGGAAGTTTTGCCATTCGCTTGGACTGAACTGGGATTTAATCTTCAGTTCCTGTTATAGCCAAGTTCACTATCAAATATGGCTTTATGTGTTCAAATTAATTCTTGGCATTGAACACTGTGGGGAGGTGAGGCAGTGCCCATGTGTGGCAATTTTGTACTAGATTACTACATGAAGCAGGCAAGCCAATGCCTTCTGCACAAGTTATAGCTATTGAATGGTCTTCAGGGGACACCCACACTTCAGTAATCTAACCTGGAAATACAGCACTCCATTTAAAAAGTATTGCATTACTGGCACTCCTTTTATGTGAGAAAGTTCTCCTTCAAAGGAAAAGGGCTTGTCTTCACTGCAAAGTTAACTTATAATTCATGTGTTTCCCCAACATATCCTGTCCACAAACAAAAACCCTTAACTTGAATATGCTGGTGCTTTTAACTCAAGTTGGCTAGCCTTTCAAGTGGCGCCATGAGCTATTACCACTCATCAGCTGCTAACATGTTACAAGCAGCACATGCAAACCTTTAGGTCATTAGGTTGTTGTTAAAGTTAACATGTGCTGCAAGCACTTGAATGTTTAGGGTTAAAACCTTCTGTAATGTACACAGCTCTGACCTGTTGCAAGGGAGCTGATGAGCAGGGGCATGGCTAATAGCTGGCAAGTTTGCTCTATTACTGCGCTGCTCAACTGGCTCTCTAGCAGCAACAAGCCCCTCCCCAGCCTCCAGCCCAGCACACAGATACACACGCACATACCCCAGCACCCCACACCAGCCCCAGCACACACACCCACCTATACCCACACCCCCTCCCAGCCCAGCACACACACATGCACCCAGCCAGCCCCAGCACATGTACACACACATGCACATGCGTTTCTGGCTGCTGCTGCTTCTGTCAGCAGCAATAACGGTGCTTCTTGCATGCACCTGGGCTCTGCAAGGCTCTTTGCAGTCGGGAATGACCCCCCATTGCCACTGCCAGTGCTTCCCTCATGGTCCGGTTGTGCTGCTCAGTGGTTATGG